CACCCAGGGACTCCTATTGTCTTTCCTGATGTCATTCTGATGCCACCTCTCTCACACTGTCTTGTATTCTAATTTTTTTTTTTTTGCCCCTTTCTTTTTGTTTTATTTTATTTTTTTGAGATGGAGTGTCACTCTGTCACTCAGGCTAGAGTGCAGTGATACAATCTCAGCTCACTGAAACCTCTGTCTCCCAGGTTCAAGCAATTCTCCTGCCTCAGCCTCCTGAGTAGCTGGGACTACAGGCGCACACCACCACGCCTGGCTAATTTTTGTTTTAGTAGAGATGGGGTTTCACCATGTTGGCCAGGCTAGTCTTGAACTCCTGACCTCAAGTGATCCACCCGCCTTGGCCTCTCAAAGTGCTGGGATTACAGGCATGAGTCACCGCGACTGGCCACTCCTTTAAAAAAAAAAATTAAATTTTATTGTAAATTGACAATTGGTGGTTGTAGATATTTATTAGGTACTAAATGTGGAATAATTAAATAAAGCTAATTAACATATCCATTACATCAAATACCATTTTTCATGGTGAGAACATTTGAATTTATTGTTAGTGGTTTTGAAACGTACAATACACCGTTATTAACTATATTCACCATCCTGCGCAATAGGCCTAAAATATATTTATTCTTCCCGAGACCTTGTATCCTTTGACCATCATCTCCCCATTCACCCCTTTCCCCAGTCTCTGTAACCACCATTCTACTCTGCTTCTATGAGTTTGATTGTTTCAGATTCCACATATAAGTAAGAACATGCAGTATTTGTCGTGTCTGGCTTATTGCCTTAGCATCATGTTCTCTAATATTTTCCTTCTTTTTAAAGGCTGAATAGTATTCCATTGTGTATATAGATGGCACTTTCTTTATCCATTCATGTGTTGATGGACATAGGTTAATTCCGTAACTGGGCTACTGCGAATAGTGTCTACTTTTCTTAATCTTCTTCTTTTGGGGGGCAGTAGCCCTACTCTGTGTCATTATTATTTCCTGTGTGATTAGAACAATGCTGTGTATTTAGTAATGTTCACTTGATACTAGTTGAACAATTGCAGAAGTGATGGCAAATGTGATGACTTGGCCTTCTGCTGTGCATCCCCTCTGCTCTGTAGTGGAGGGGCAGCATCTGAGGGACAGGGCAGCATCTGAGGGACACACAGGTGGGAGGAGAGAGAGAGAGTCAAGGAAGTCAAGCTTGTTTCAACTCCATGCACTCCATTCACTGGGCTAAAGTCAGTCCTTATATTAGTGAATGTTTCACAGAATTTTTAGACGAAGTGACACTCAACCCATTCTCCTTTGGTCATAAATGAAAAGAGAAGCTTTGTACTTGTCTAAGAGAAAGGAGTTCCTCCTTGTCGTTTATTTGTTTACTTTTAATGATTAGGATTGAAAAAAACCCCAAACAACTAGCATCGTTTAACTGATGACCCCGCAGGCTCTGTGCTTGTTTTTACACACATTGGTGTAGTATCAAATCTTAGTGATGGAAGGGAACAAGTTGATTTTACTTACATTATCAATTGGATCTTGACCACAAATCTTTGAGGGATATTAGTATTACCATATTATAGATGGGGACACTGAGGCCCAGAAAGGATAAATCATTTTCTTAATGTTACTCAGTAAGTGGAAAATTTAGAATATGAACACAGGCTTTTGTCACTTCAAGGTCCATTTGCTTTCCACTTTCCCGCAGGTGGCTTGGGCTAAAGTGTTTGAATTAGCAGTATTGTGTCGACCTGCCAGTGGCCACTTAAGCTTCTTCATGACTTTCGCATGGGCTTTCCCTGTGGCCAGAAGGGCAGGGCTTAGATGATGATTGTGGCAATAGTGACATGGAGAAAACTTCAAGAAGTAGGGTTTTCTTTGCTCTCTGGGCATGCGCTCACTCATGTGTTTGGGAAAGTGAGGCAGAATAGCAGAAAGCTGCTGCTGTCTTTCTCCCCAGCTCCATGACCAGCTGGATGTGAAGATGGCAAAGTGAGAAGGCCACTGAGACGATCATGCTCGATACTGCGATGTGCTAAGAGCTTATCGCCTTCATCAAGGCCTTGCTGACTTCTCCCATCATGTTGCAGACTTGTAGAATTCTAGGTCTGATGTAGGTCTTCACTTTTCGGTTCTCAGAGTCAAAAGGTGGGTTGAAGAGGGGAGTACATGAAAAGAGCTAGTTTAGCAACTAATCAATCAGGCACAAGAGCTCAGCACTGATTCTCAAAGGATGCCATTTTTACACCTTAGAATGTATATGGTGATGGTGGTGGGGAGATAAATACCAATTAGAGATTTAGTGCCAGTGTCAATGTGAATGTTGTTTTCTTAACATTTTTGGCCATTGGCTAAGTTCTAGATTAATAGGCAGAGAAATAATGTCAAAGTTTATTTAGATTGTCATCCTGCCAATGGGCAGAGAAGTATCTTGAAAGAAAGTTGATATGAAATGAATGCTGCTAAGTCATGGGAATTGCTCTCAGGAAGGAAAGTATTAGCAGAGTTAAGTAATGTTAATTGCAAGGGATGAATTTGCTTTGGTACTGAGGTCTGAAATGTTGCCATTCTCAACTTCTTAAATGAGAAACAATAATACTGCTTTTTAAAAAATAATGTTGATTTTATTTTTATTTTATTTTGGTTCCTTGCAGAAAACAAGATTTATTTTTTATTTTTATTTTTTAGCAGACCTGCAGATCCTGAGGGTTAAATCCTCCTCATGCCTTTGAATAGTTGTCAGGTGATTTGGGGCGGCTTGCACGTGTTTCTGGAGAGGGTAAGGCTAAACTAGTGACAACTACATTCCAAGTGTAATCCCAATCTCTTGACATCACAGAAGAAACCACTAATTTTCAGAAGCTTCTCAAGTCTGGGAATTTGTCAATGCACTGGGCACAGTCGTCCTTGGTGCAGCATTAGACATGCTTAAATGAGGCAAACTGGATGGACCCATCAATTCGGTCAAATAAGTAGAATTTTTCTTCTAAGTTACTTTGAAATTGACCAATTCAACAAAATGACAGCACTGGAGAGCTGTTTTGGTGATATGTTAACATTTCTCTTTTGTATTTAACATTTTAAATATTGTAGATCTAATTCATAATCTGACATGTACAAAATAAATGCTTATCCCATAAACCTAATACCAACACATGATATACTACAAATAATTTGATTCCAAATGAATTAAGAAAAAAGTTTTCAAGTTTCAGATTCTTTTACCAAAAATATCCTGGGAATTTGAGATTGTGCCTATGCAGCTTCAAACAGATGAATAAAAAGTAATGTAGGCCAGGCGCAGTGGCTCACACCTATAATCCTAGCACTTTGGGAGGCTGAGGCGGTTGGATCACCTGAGGTCAGGAGTTCAAAGCCAGCCTGGCCAACATGGTGAAGCCCCGCCTCTACTGAAAATACAAAAATTAGCCAGGCATAGTGGTGCATGCCTGTAATCCCAGCTACTCAGGAGGCTGAGGTAGGAGAATCGCTCGAACCCGGGAGGCGGAGGTTGCAGTGAGCTGAGATCGCGCCACTGCACTCCAGCCTGGGTGACAAGCGCGAAACTCCATCTCAAAAAAAAAAAAAAAAAAAAGCAATGTAAAGTTTTTTTTTTGTTTTCCTTTGGGTGATGAGATTAAAAGTAATTTAAAAATTTTAAATACTTTAATATATTTTCACATGTCCTACAATAAATATATAGCTTTTTAATTCGACAAAAAATAATTTTGAGTGGTTACAAAAAGAGACAGGTGTGGCTTGGTAACTAGGAAAACATTCCCAGCCTGGCAAACAATCTGGTGAGAGCTTGGAGGCAGAAGACAGCACTCTGACTACATTCAAGGAGTTTGCCAGATGGCAACAGATAACTGCCAATGTTCGATTGCACTATAATTATTATACACTCTCTGTCACTTCAGCAAGCTCTCTTTTCACAAGACAAGTGGTGACAGAATGTTGTATTAAGATTACCCATCGCTAAGCTTATGTTAAAACGAGGAAACGAAATGGAAAGTCTTGTTTTGGTAATGTCTCTGGGGTATGAGGAATGGACGGAAAGGTTTCACGATGGGCACAACTACATAGAGAATTTTGTTTGTTTATGCCTTTTGGGAATGCATTATTTTGATTGACCCTAACTGGGAATTCAGAGGGGGAGATTTCCTCTATTATCTATAAAGAAAGGATCTGCTGAGCAAACACAATTGCTAGGGTCATGTTTAAAGTACTTAATTGATCTGCTTTCAAGTCTAATGAAACACTTCAGGGGCTCTAAACATGTGACATGTTGGTTACAAACTCATCTTAGTCTAATTTTAGTCAATGTTTGTATTAGAAAGTTATATAATACTTATCTTTCATTCAGATATATTCTATAATTCACATTTTCCACTAATTTTACCCCAGTTCTCCTTCCACCCCCAATCTATCCAAATAACTGAGTTGAACTGTGTGTTTACTGCTCTATTAATTTATTGACAGAGATATACAAACCATGACTTCCTCGGCTGTTTTGGATGAAACTGTAGATCCACATGTAAACTTGCAATGCACAGCTTAGCCGGAAAGTTATGTGGAGCAGGTGACTGAGGGGATAGCTTTCACTGCTTGGACTAAAGTCAGTTTTCAAAGAGCTAAAGATGCCTATTGAATTCTGGAGTGTGTGTGTGTGTGTGTGTGTGTGTGTGTGTGTGTATGGGTGTGCATGTGTGTGGGTGTAAAGCAGCAAACTCTTCACATTTCAAATAACTAAAGATATGGTTGGTAAAATGAAGTCACATTTTTACACCTCACATGCTGACTAGGGAGAGCAGTCAAATGCAGCATCGATTGGTTAAAATTAGTCTATCATTCTTGGTTTATGATGTTTTAAGGACATGTTAAAGATATTCATGAAGATGTAAAAGATACATTTAAAACCCACATCAATTGCACTAAAAGTCAACTGGAAACAGAAGGTTTTTAAATCCTGGTAGTGGCAAATTGGCAGCCAAAGGAACAGAGTCTTAGTCAACATATTCCCATGTCCCCCTGAACACAAATAGCCTCGAACCTTCGGAGGGTGTTCCTTTGAGATATTTCATCAGTGACATCACAGTGATTGCCAGCTTCCATGGACTACTTTAGGCACTGCCCAGAGTCCAGGAGTCCAGACAGCCTGGGAGGGGAGAAGGAGTTGGAGCTGAAGTTGGAGACAGCGAGGAGAAACCTGCTATAGCCAGGGTGTGTCTCTGATCCTCTTCAGGTAACTGCAGGATTTTTATGCTTAGTATACGGTGTGTGTGTGTGTACAAGCTGCAAATGAGAAAGGAGAGGAATGTTTACATTTCTTAATGAAATAGGCAATGCCCCTTGTATACAGCGTGCCTTAAGGTATAAAGTGAATACTATTGCTTTCTGTTTTCCTTTTCTTTCTCCTAAGGGTATGCATTTTTTCCCTTCCTAGTAAAAAAAAAAATTTTTTTTTTGGTATTATGGAAGAAGGTCTGTTTGCTATCTTCTCTAAGTCTCCATTCAAAGAAAACCAATGTCAAACTTCCTGTACAATTTATTCAGAGCTTTTTTGGGTTTTAGTTCATCCACTTGCAATCACTGGATCATATGGCATGACCTTGACTTCAGGGAATGTTTAAAATGAAACCCAAAGTGTCTTTATGGGTTAACAGCAGAAAAATGGAACTTGGCTGATCTGAATTTCTGCCTAACTGGTTCATGTATAAATGTGTGTGAAAGGAATGTTCACACCACACCTTACAGTTAGTATATGTGTTGATTGAATTGAATTCACTAGAAATTCTCACTTTAACTCTTTATGTTTAATTCATCTAAAATCACATAAAACAATAAATACTTAAGGTCACCATTAAAGTGCAAGAAGTAGTAAGAAGTAAATCCCAAGAAAGAAAGAAATGTGATGGGTAGCCTGCTAATTCAGAGATGACTGAAACAAAAATGTAAAGAGTGCATAAACATATACAGTTTAAACAGTAACTAAAAGGCAACACTTCTATAATTATCATCCAGGTCAAGAAACAGATCATTGCCAGCACCCAGAGGCCCATTCCTGATCAACCCCCATTCTGCCCTTCTGCCTCAGATGTTGGGATCCTCTCGTCCCTGTTATTCTTTATAGGTTGACCATCTATGTCTGCATTCCTAAACAATATGATTAACCTCCCTATTTTTGACTTCATATAAATGAAGTCATATTCTATGTTTCCTTTGTAAATTCTTCTTTCACCCAACAGTTATATTTGTGAGATCTACCCATTTTGTGTGTAGCTATAGTTCATACGTTTTCTTTGCTTTATAAAATTCAAATGTATGAATATACCACAATTTATCATCCATTCTGCTGTTGATAAACATTTGAGTTGTTTCCAGTTTGGAGTTATTGTGATAATATTGCTCTGAACCTCTTTGTTTATGTAACCTGGCACACACGTCCTTGAATGTCTTAAGGTAGAAGTGAAATGCTAGATATTAGAGAATGAACATTTTCACCATTAATTCTAAGAAAGCCAAATTGTTTTCCAAAGTAGTAGAAAATTTATGCTAACTTTGTTTAGCCAGGCCAGTTAATTGCAGTGATAATTCAATTGTGTCATAACTCCTAGGAAGTGACCACAATTCTAGTAACTAGTTCCAGTCTGCTAATTCTAGCTTTGCCTGTAACTTGTTATCTGTCATTACACAAACATCTTAATCTCCTCTCTCTAAAAGTCAGTTTCTCAGCTGCAATCTTGAGAAAGATAAAAACTGCAGTAACACTTGCCTGCGTTGTTGTGAAGGTAACACGAACAGAGCTGTGGAACAGCTTTCAATAGTATTTTTCTCATTTTCTGAGTATATCCTGTTGGATCACTATCCATGATTCCTGTGACTTAACAGCTTAATTTAATGGGCAGATTTGGTGGGACCATTGTTTTGCCCTCCTTGAATTGAATTGTTTTGATCATTATAAGCCAGGCTTCGTATTTTCTGCATTTCTTGAGAACTTACCCAAATAAATGGACATTAGGACTAGGATTTTATTTCATTGATAAGTCTATAAGAAAGAATCTGTCTTCATTTCTCATTCCTTTGCTTCCAGGCACCTTGGCAAGACTCATTACCTTTCTGTTCTCCTCTGCTGTTTTGTACATTCTCATAAATCCTTTTTCTTTGATCCATTCATTTTCTTCTGTTTACTTTCTCCTCCAAGCAAATCTTTGTAAAGATTTTCTATTTTTTCCCCTTTTTATTTTCTTGGAGAGACAGGGTCTTGCTATGTTATCCAGGCTGGTCTTGAACTCCTAGGCTCAAGTGATCCTCCCACTCATTATTAGACTGCCTGAATAACGTGCAAGCCTCCCAAAGTGCTCATTAGAGGCATGAGCCACCATGCCCAGCCATTTGTGATGGTTTTCATTGGCAATTTACTATTTCCTTCATGAGGTCTAAAAGATGGATAACAATTAAAAGGGAGATGAAACATAAATCTGTCGTCATTTGGCTATATATTTGCTGGCTGGCACCATCCGATTTGAACTTGTATATATTTTTTTGAGACAGGGTCTCATTATGTTGCCTAGGCTGGTCTTAAACTCTTAGGCTCAAGGAATCCTCACACCTCAGCTTTGCAAGTAGCTAGGACTACGGGTACCCACTGCCATGCCTGGCTGAACCTGTATGTTATGCCAGTTACACAATATGAAAAATGATTATTCAGTTGGCATTTATGCAATTAATAATTTGGTCCATTGATACTATAATCAATACAGTAATTACAATTAATAATTCAGTCATGTTAGATAGTTAAAAAAATACTACTCAGACCAAAAGCTTGCTAACAACCCTTTCAGCCTCTTGAACTCTCACCTTTAGCAAACAAACAAAACACCTTTTCTCCCTAAACTTTCACTCTACAGTAGACTTTGGCCCTAAATATCTAAGATATAAATATCTAATTATCCAAAATACATAAATCTTTAATTTCATTTAGACTGCCTGAATAATGTGCAATTTACACTATCTCATGGAAGACAATAATTTGATGACTTCATTGCATGTGTTCTCAAAGTATGATTTCCTGTATGGACAATCTGTACATACTATGAAGATACCATCCCTGCTCTTTGAAATGTTTACAATCTAGGCACATCCTGGACCTGACTAAAAATAGCTGGCACAAGCCCTTGTTGAAATAGAAGTACCCATGAAGTTAACACTTGCTCTTTGGGCTGAATGCCTGTTATGTGAGGGGCTTTTGGTTGATCCCAGTAGGCTGTGTGCCCAATGCAGGACTTGTCAGAGGCCACGCAGCTGTTGAAAGTACTTTCTGCTTTCCGTAGAGTTAGATGAAGACCTACAGCAGTCTGAGGCCTGAAAGATTATGGCATCCCACTTACCTACGTAATTCAACGCAAGAACAATACTAAACCATAAAGTTTTTCTGTTTTGATACCCCTGCTTATTGATACTCTTAAGAAAAGTATACACATGCATATGCACGCACACACAAACACACACAGAAGTTGGAGAAAGAAAAATGTAATATTTCACATTTTATGAAAAGCACCAATACAATCATCACAGGAAAAAAAATCAGGACAAAAATGGTGGTCTTTATGACATTAGACAGAAAAATTAGGCTGTCTGTAATCATTAGGGCTCTTCAGAGAAACATAACGAATAGAATGTGTTGTGTTGAGGGATTGGTGTCTGTTTTTAAGGAATTGGCTTGTGCGATTACTGAGACTGGCAAGTCCAAAATCTGCAGGGTGGGGTGGTGGGCTGGTGGGCTGGTAGGCTGGAGACTCAGGGAAGTCTCTAGTCCAAAGACAGTCAGGAGGCTACATGTCCCAGATCAAGGTGTTGGCACAGTTGGTTTCTTTTGAGTCCTTTCTTTGGGTTGTAAATGCCCATCTTCTTCTTGTGTTTTCACATGGTCTTCCCCTCTGTTTGTGTCTGTGTCCTAATCTCTTCTGATAAAGATACTAGTCATATTGGATTATGGCCCACCTTAATGACCTCATTTTAACTTATTTACCTCTTAAAAGACCCTATCTCCAAGCACAGTTGCATTCTGAGATACTGTGGGCTACGGCTTTGACATGTAGATTTTTGGGGGACACAATTTAGCCCATCACACTGTCCTTTTCCACAACATTTCTGTTTCCTTTGAGGAAAGGACGAGCATTGTTATACAGGAATGCTCATTAATCTCCTTGTGTTTTCTTTGTTATGTTTTATTAGGAGGTGAGAACAAGCCAGAGGTTCTTGGTGTGCCCTCAGAAGTCTGCCTGAAGTTCTCACCAAGCCGCTGGGAAAATGGGGATAAACACCCGGGAGCTGTTTCTCAACTTCACTATTGTCTTGATTACGGTTATTCTTATGTGGCTCCTTGTGAGGTCCTATCAGTACTGAGAGGCCATGCCATGGTCCTGGGATTGACTGAGATGCTCTGGAGCTGCCTGCTCTATGCCCTGAGACCCCACTGCTGTCATTGTCATGGGATGCCGTTCTCCACCCGAGGGCACCTGTAACCTGCACTCACAATGTCTGCTATGGCGTAGTGCTAGGATTGATTATGTGTTCTCTAAAGATGCTGCTCCCAAGGGCTGCCAAGTGTTTGCCAGTGAATGTTAGACTTATTCCCCAGCTCTTAAATGAAAATGTGTTAGACAAGCCATAAAGTTAAAATTAAACTGTATTCATGATGATGTAGGATTGTTACAAGCCCCTGATCTGTCTCACCATACATCCCTTCAACCCACACGGTCTGCAACCAAACTCTAATTCAACCTGCCAGAAGGAATGTTAGAGCAAGTCTTTGTCAGCCCTTACAGCTATCATGTGAATAAAGTTAAGTCAACTTCAAAAACAACTTCTAGAATTTATTTTAGCTTCCATGTGTGATAGAGCATTTGACCCTTGGCTAGGATTGGAATGACAAGTGCTACCGTATTTCTAGCATTTGAGGTAAGCCAAGATGCTGCAACTGCTGAAGATTTGAAACCAAGTCAACACACTGTGTCATATTTCAAGTAATTCCATTGGTTCAGCGCTCCTCAAACTTTTCCCCTAAACTAGTCTCAAGGGCAGAGGAAGAATAAATCTGTTCCACTATGGGGTCTGAAGCATAGCCTGAATTGCCAGCTAAAAGTGCAACATTTCTTTGAAGTCTTGTGTTTTATCTTTAGAATCCACGAGAAATGTATTTTCTACCTTATAATATCTTCATGTTTGTTTTCATATAAATATTTAAAATTATTTACACTAAGTAACACAAGAACATGAGTCATGTCCCCAAGAGTAGCATATTCTATTTTGGTTATTGTTATTACACAAATGGAGCTAGACTTTAATCAGCTACAGTTCTAAAGGGAGGAAAATAGAGAATGCAAACTTTTATGTTTATAAAAGACATATAAAATAGACATTTCTTAAACATGTTGCCAGAACACCCCATGTTAGACAGACCAAATCCGCTATTTGTGCCAATGCTGAGGTAACCACGGAGAAAGGGAATGTTGTTAAACCTCATCTTACAAAGCCGCCTTCGTGAAGGTGTTTCTTGCCAAGAATTTGACCTGTCATTGAGGCATTGCCTACATCGCATTATAGTTCTTAACCCTGGCTACATTCAAAGAAAGTCAATTATCCCAGGGGCGATTTTTCAAAATACTGAGGCTGGGTCCTTCTCAGACCAATTAAATAAAAATCCCAGGGAATACAGTCCAAGTATCTATCTTCTAAAAATATTTTCTAGATGATTACATTGTGTAGCCAGAGTTGAGAATCTACTGATACCAGCCCTTGCTTCTCAAAATTCAATGTGATTGTGAATCACTGGGGAGTCTCATTTAAATGCAGATTCTAATTCCATTCTGATTCTGATACTGATTCAGTCTGGGGTGGGGCCTGAGAGCCTACATTTTGGACAAGATCCTAAGTGATGCCAGTGCTGCCTGTCCAGACTGCCACCCTTGGATTAACCTATTAGAATCACTTGGAGGACCTTTAGCAAAACCACGCAAGCTTGAGCCCAGTTCCTAGTTGTTTCTAATTTTTCAGCCTTGGGTGAACCTGAGTGTTATTCTTTTTTGGAAGAACTCCAGGTGACTCTAATGTGCAGTCAGGATTACGAATCTTCAAATAGCAAAAGAAAAAAATGTTATATTTTGAGAGGTTCCTCTCCAAATTGGGAAATAGCAGTGTATAGTCCTCAGTGCCTTGTCCCTAATTTCAGTTAGACTCCACATATGGATGTGCAACTGCTAATGATTTAGCAGGCAGCACCTGTACTCATAGACTTGTGGCTCTAGGGCCCTTAGTAGATGGTTAGCGGTCTTTCCCCTATTTGCAGAAAACCTACTGGTTGTGTATGTGTTTGAGAAAGTGTGTATGTGTGCTAGGGAGAGCCACAACATTCCCTGCAGATGTTGGACCATCTGGCCTCTCACTGAAGTCTGAGTGATGGTGCCAACACTGACAACAGGTACCGTTTATTGAGTCTACCATATATGAAACCCTGTTATGGGCACTTTCCATAATTCATGCCATTTGGCAGATTTGGGAACTGAGGATCCGAGACTTCACTAAATAGATGTAAGTGGGGAAGCTGCAATGAGAAAAGGATCATGTTAACCTCTATGCGGAACTGTGTACACATCATGCTTTGTTACGGATCTCCAAACCATTGGATTATGGTTTAGGTTTTACCCTCACATTCTTTAGCATTCTAAAATATCAGCCTGTTTAGATCAAGGTAACAATTGCAGTTCTCTGTGTCATTTCTTTTTGCTTGTTAATCCTCACTCCTTTCTTTCTCTAACTTCCTGTGACTGAATCTAGGGAGAAGGCCCATTTTTAGACCACACTGTGAGCAGCCTTTGCAGGGATAGGACATCTATTAACAACTTTAGTGATGGGACTAAGAATTATGTAATGTCTTTCACATTCAGAAGTCCTAGTCATGGCTAAATCCCAGTCTGACTCATAAATCTCCTTTATGTACAACCTTCCCTATGACCTCAAGTATCCTGACTCATCACAGAACTCTGCGTCCCTCAATGTTGGCCCCATCCACTGAAATGCTGCCTGATTATCCCAAACAAGATGCTAGTTCTCCTCTAGAACCAGAGCACTGAATCCTAGTTATTAACTGAGGTTCCAGCTCATAGACTTGATCCTGCTCTGGCTTTTTTCTCTTGTGTTCATTCATTCTTTCATTCAACAAGTAGTTATTATGCAACTAAGTGTTGGATGTTTACTAGACATTGGAAATAAAATGGCAAGACAGCCAAGCCCCATTCTCAGGGAGCATACCATTTAGTGGGGGAGACAGATACATAAATAGGTAGTTACAATGGTGTGAAAAGTTCTTTGACGAGATAAGGATAAAGTGCTGTTGGAGGAGATTCCAGGCAGAAGGAATAGCATGAATGAAAAACCAAAGGCTAGAGAGGATGACGAATTTAGGTGTAGCTGAAGCACACAGTACCTCTCCAGCCACTGGCAGTAGTCATGCCACATAAGAGCAGATTTCACAATTCTCACCACGTTGCTCTGACTTCCAAGTTGAATCACTTCTGTGATTCTTGCTGGCATGCCTCATGCACTGGAGGGGGACCTTTGCCACCAACAATTGTTTGAGTCGTGTCTGTGCTTACATATAACTTAGACACTGGCCTAGGGCCATCCTATCAGTTGTATCCACAGCAGCCAGACTGGCTTTTCCCATTTACCATCTCACCCCATCGAGCAGTTCTCTGTTGGGTGATGTTCTCCTCTTCTTGCCGTAAGTCCCGGGATGCCAAGATCCCAGCATGTATTGGTATTGAGCTGCCTACCTTACCATACCAACCAACCAACCATCTGAATTTTTTTAAAAAGATACCTTTCAGTGCTGACTTAAACTTCCAGTCTTCTCTAAACTCACTACTAAGGTGTACATCCTTTGGAACTTCTCATTTTTATCTAACTATTCTCCTACATTGAAATACACACACTTTTGCTTCATTTCTGGCAGTCTCAACACCGTATCTGGTCCCTAACTCCTCTTCCTAGGACTGCCACATAGTTGGCTCTGTAAGGCATAAGAAATTATCCAGGTAATTCATGTCCCAAGCCGTGGCTCTAAGAAAAGAGACTCAAGATACTCCAACCTGATCAGCATCCATAATCACATTTCCGTCTTTGCTTCACGGACCCATATGGGGTGTGTGAAATAGTCACAAAATGGTAGTGCTTCCATTGTTTTCTAATTTAATTTAAGGCATCTCAAGGGGATGGCACTTTCTTTACTTTTACTATTCCTTTATCATTTTGCTGTCCCTTTTGTTTCACTGGAACACAGTCTACCATTCTTGCCTGCCCCACAGGCATTTTGGTGCATAATCAATGCCATTTCTAGATGGCATCCCTGAACCTTTCCTTAGCAGGGTGGGCATGTCTGTTACCACCTTGAAATCTCATTACCCAGAATCCTGTCCTGAATGTCTACAGTACCCCCAGAAAGTAGATAGTGACAAATTAAACTGGTTCTGTTCCCTTTTCCTCTGAATATGTTATCTATCATTCTTTCAGTAGATCTATTTTATCATTTCCTGGTTTCAGAATGTTTTTAAAAACTTTGGCACAGAAGACCCTTCTTAGCAGACCCAGGTCTACCTGTGGCCTCTCTTCTGTTTACCTGTCCCCCACGCCCCACCTCCACTCTCATTTCCAACCATTTCCTACTATTTGTTGTTTTCAGTCATGCTATGCTGTCTTCTACTGTGGGGTTCTTGCATAGCTATTCTCTTTGCCATTAAGTGTTATTACCTCTTGAAAGTTATCCCCAGATAATTTCCTTCTCTGGGCCCCATGCCTAAAAACTCATAGCATTTATCACATTGTATTGGTTTGTTTGTGTGTCTCTCCCATGTGAAATTCTTGTTTATGGGGACTGTCTTCAATGTTTAATTTTAGTTTCTAGCTGGTGCATCATAATCACTAGATAAGTATCTGTTGAACACGTCAGTGACTACTTGGCTAGATGTAAAACTTTTGGAATAGACGTGTACCTATTTCTATGACTAGGTGCATGATCTGTGTTCACCACAGTATAATAAAAAGGAGGCATAAAAAGTTCTAAAAGTTCTATGAGGTTAATGAGCAAACCAAACTTCTTTTTAAACTTTAGGCAGTTGAAACAGGTTTTCCAAAGGCAGTTTGTTTCTTTATGAAATATTCATGATGCTTGCTTCTTTTGATCTGTCTCTATCACCCCTGAACAAGTTGACAATGTTTATGAATTACTCATCAAAGCCCAATGTGTCGAGCATGTTTTTGAGTTCATCTACAAACAGGGTGAAACCAGAGAAATTTCCACTTTTCAAACTGCAGAAAGTTAAGGTCAAACTTCATGTACACACAGCATGTTTAAACTAACTTTACTGCATGCCTCCTATATGTGAGGAACTTTTATGTGTTCTATTTTACTCAATTCCTTTTTATATTGTGAAGTATTTATCTTCATTTGTACCTTAAAAGTGAGAAGCCTGAGGCTCAGAAAGGACAAGTGGCCAGGCTTAAAACACAAAGCTGAGAAGCAAACCCAGTTCTCTCCAATTCTGAGAGCTGGCTCTTCCCAGTCACCACGGTTGCCCTTCTGGGCTCTTCCTGGTCACCATGGTTGCCCTTCTGCGTCACTCTAGGGCGCAAGCATGTTTCCTTATTCTGGGCTGAAAGAGCCAAAAGCATGTGTATGTCAGAAGCCTCCGGGTAAATGCCTCAATCACTGCAGCTCAGTCATACAGGGTTTGCAACTTACACAATTCTGTGTTTCCCAGGACTTTGAAACAAGCCCTGAGATCACCTTGTCTTTGTCAGTCAACT